TTCTTGTATCCTATGAAGAAGACAATTTGAAAAGCAAAATAATAATAATAATAATAATAATAATAATAATAATAATAATAATAATAATAGGTGTATTTTATAAAAAAGCGTATGATTTATGCATTTTCAAGTAGAGGCAAATTTATTTTGAAAGAAGTTTAAAGAAATTACTGCTATAGGGAAATCCTATGCAGGTCTACCTAGATTTAAGTCCTGTTGCCTCCAATTCTAAATAACTGTGCAGAAAATTATGCTAATAGTTATAGAAAGTTATAGAAATATAGAAAGGAAATAGCATTTAATGAACGAAACAAAAAGCTTATCCGTGCAAAAGTGAGCAAGTTATCCTTTTATTATATTATGCAGGTGACCTCTGGGATGGCTGAGGAAGATAACCAATAAATTACACATGTATTTAGTTAAGAATGTATAATTATTTGTTTATAACTTTCCATAAAGAGAAATGAGGTTGAAAGTTCTGAGCTAGCAAGTTTTTATTTAAGAGTTGACAGCAACTTGATAGCATGTAATCTTCATCATCATGAGTTTAGGAATACGGAAACATTTAAGATTTTAATGAAGAGTTGCCCTAAGATATCATTACATCTCACCACTTGTTTATATGTTCAAATCAATTTTAATGTAAGGCAATGCCTGCAAAAAAAAAAAAAATGATCCTGAAATCTTAGGCTAAGTAGTATTTCAAGCATTTGACTGGGAAATAGTCCAATGACAGCTATCTGAAAAAATGCATTTGAAAAGGAACTTCATGAAAGAAATAATAGAAAGCATCTTACTGGAATGGGAAAAGACAGTTGACATTATATATACCTGTGCTGGATGTCATCTAGGAACAGCTTAGTTGGTCTGCATTCTGGCGATTTGGGAAATTCTACATTTTGCTTTCTCAAAGGAATCTGAGTTTCTCTGTTAATATCTACATGAATTGGCTTTCGAATACTGTCTGTAATTAAAATGAAGATTAGCAAGACTACAGTGGGTTAAACAGGAACACGCTATATATTTATATATATTAATAAGGATACAGAACCAAAAGTATTAGTTTCTCATTGGGCCAGGGCAGTGTTTCAGATTCAGTTCCAAAAAGGTACTTTGGGGTGCATGGAAGTGCAGAAATAGCACATGTCCCCAACTTTTTAAAGCAGCCATGTCTTTTCCTGCCCGGTGTAGTTGTCCTGAGCTCCTAGGAAAATTGCAGCTACTTTACGTATGGCAGGGATTTTGTTCATGATCCTGTGTGTTCCAAAACACCTTATTAGAACTGAATCCAAAGTATTGTACAGCTCTAATTCCCACTGGCAATTGGCAAGCATAATAGTATGGGTTACAGCTTTTTGTGTGAATCTATTTCCATTTCTGATCAGTAAACTTGCAGTTCAGATGAAAAATACAATTAAAATTTGATACAACGAATATTGAGGCTACAGAAGAGTTAGGACTTGGCAATGTGTCTTGTTTTTGAAAGCTAAACTGTGTCAATGAAATGCATTATTAAACTTACCCGTATTTTCTTTCTTTGTAGAGATCTGATTAACAACATAGAGATTGAGAAGGTCTAAACTGACAGCTGAGCTTTTACAAGGAGATACTCCCAATAGCTTTATCTTTGACTTCAGTTTTTCCTTTTCAAAAAAATCCTGTTACATTGAGAAGGGGCAGCAGTTATAATACAAATGTTCACATAGTACATTTCTTATAACTATATTTTAACCAGGAACATTATCTCAGTACATTAACAAAGAGTTTCAAAATATATACAGGCTTTGTAGCAATTATGTTGATTGGTATTCCACTTTTCCTCCTGGAAATTAACATGGAAATCTCGCTCACAACAGCAACCTTCTGTGGTGGCTGGGCTGAGAGAAACATGACTGACCCAAAGTCACCCAGAGATCTTGTATGGCGGAAGGTGGGCTCAAACCTGGGTCTCCGCAGTCCTAGTTAAAAATCTGCACAACAGTGCACAGTTTTCTGGGAACTGAGATAGGAGAGGACTCTTCTCTGCTTTTCTTCTTTCAGTAGCATTGGGGTAAGCAATGTCCAACCCCCAAATTTCCCTTTTAAGATCCTTGGTCCCCCCTCTGTTCATGACTCCTGCAAACTGATGGCACCGTTGCCACTCACTGTAAATGAAAAACTGAAGAAAACTATAGCAAAAGCCCTAAAATGGATACCTTATAGTTAAAAAACAAAACAAAGTACTAAAAAAATCTAGTTTAGTCCATGTGTGTAATATGCCACACCTACTTTAGAGCTCTCAGCCTTCCTGAAATGTTAAATCCAGCACTTGGCCACCAAAAGGCTGTCCAGCCTGTATCTGTTCTCACCCAATAGCATCTTTTGCCTAACCACATTGTCTTTGCCTTCCATGCAGATACAAATGAGCTCAGATTCCCTCTTCCGAAGTCAGAGATGAAACTTTGACTTCAGGGGCACGTCCAGCATTGGGTCCTCTCTCCCACGAGCCCTGCTCTCTCTTTTTCCAGCAGCAACCTACAAGCAGGGACAGGGGCAGCTGTGGAACTGAAGGGTCCTCCCTATCCTCTGCCATGGTAGAGAATCCAATGGAAATGATAACATATCTCACCCCTGGGAAGTGTTTTAACACGAGAATCTAAAGCTCATTCTGGCACTGAATTTTTATTTCTTGTTTTTATTCCTTAGTCATTTCTGCCACCTTGTGTTTGAAACTCTGCCTATAAATGCACCAGAATCTTCTGCAAAAAAGGAGAACGTTGTAATTCTCATACTTTTAGCAAAAGTGTTTTCCTTTTATTCTATTCTTCTTGTATCTTTAAATCCACAAATTATTTTTGCTATTGCAGGCTGTCCTCACATCTGATCTCCATCCTGACTGATATCAATTTATTTGATATATGCAACACCTTTCTATTGTTATTCAATATAAAATGCACATTAAACATTTAAAAACGTATCTCCAATTATACTATTTTTATTCTTCTCTTACATGGGCTGCCTGTGATCTCCTGATCTGGGGAGAGATCGGTCTTGTTTAGCCTCAGGTACTCCTGATTTTCTACCAGCCCCCAGTTTGAATGTTTTTTTTAACAGCAAAGCAAAGTCTAAAAAGAAAGATATAAGCTTTTTGGAAAGCGGCAATTTTTGCTTCTGAAGCTGTATATCTGTGGCCATTTCTCCACTACTGACATACAGCACATTACAGAGTCACTCAGCTGTCACTGAAGCAATATAAAGCCTGTCTCATAATTATTGTGTCAGGTGAAAGTCTGTAGCAGATGCTGAATGTCACTAGAGGGAAAATAGCTTATGAGTTTCAGTTGACAGCAGACAAGACAGAAGAGGTGATGTGATAATTTTGGCTGTTCGTTTCTTGTGTACCACCTCCTGCTTTCTCTAGCCATACAAATGTTATAAATAGGGCCATTTATAACAAATATACAAATAGCGAAGTATTTTAAGTCTACTTAGAAAAAATAGCAGAACGTATGAACATGCATTATTCTAAAATAGCATTCAGTGTATCTGAAAATAGCTACCATATTATCTCCATCTTCATGCAAACTTCGTGCAGAGTTCTACATTGGTTTCATAACGTTCTAATTATGAAACCACTATGACGACAACGATGATGATGATGATATTCCTGGCTAGCTCAAATATATTTTTAGAATGTAATCACTACTTACCTTCTGTTTTCTTCTCTCTTTGGTAAGCATGATTCTTCGACTGGAAGTTGGAAGACAGAAGAGAAAAAGCATGCTTTTATGATAGTTTATAAAATGAACGAATGGTTATACTGAAGCCAGGCTTATTCAACCAATAATCATCTAATAATAATAACAATAATCAATAATCAGAAGTGATCATTAATGGTGTGCCTTTTCCTTGATTAAATTTCTTGCCCACTTCATTCCAAATTCTGAAGACATTAAAATTAGTGGGGTGGAGGGGAGGGGTCCAAAGAAGCAAGGCTCTGAATAACATTGCTAAATATTTTTGGAACCGTTCAGTTTACGGCATCATTTTTCAGGCCTTTCCTTCCATTATTGTTGCTATAGTTATTATTAGATTTTTATCCACCTTTCTCTCTTTCTCTCTCCCTCTAGGTCAACCCTACAGGTCAACTCAAGGTGGCGAACATACTTAATGCTTCTGCCTTCTATTTTCCCCACAACAACCCTTTGAGGTGGGGCGGGGAGAGGGACTGGCCCAAAGTCACCCAGCCGGCTTTCATGCCTGAGACAGACCTACAAGTCAGTTTCCTACTTAGCCCAGCACCTTAATTACCACAACAAACTGGCTTTCTCTAACTATTCATTAAATTATGATAATCACAAATCACCACAATGGTCATCATTTATGATACTTTGCTCTTCGGATTATCATAATTCGTTATAATCCATCCTACTTTATTAAGGTTTATTTTCACAATGAACATAGTGTGTCACTGCATTATCATAATTTACCCTTGCAATGATCATAATCCATTACGATTTGTGCTGGTGTATTGTTGCGGTTATCACAATTCATTATGAATTATTATAATTTATCATGATTTATTACTGCAATCCACATAACGTATCACTATATTGTCATCATCTATTGTTGCAATCAACGTATGATGATTTATGATGATTTATTATTGTGATTATTATGAAGTATGTATTATAATTTGTCCCGCTGTGTTATAATTTACTCTTTTTCTATCCTTTAAAAAACGAGGCAAGGTTTCTGAGGCAAAGATTCCACTCTTTGGTTGTTTAAAGATCCCATTAAAAAAAGGAGAAAGGAGAACTGTTAAAAACCATTGAAGTATTAAAAACATTACTGTATAGGTTTATAACATTGTAGGTTTCGATCTCTAACTTCCCCTTTGTGGTACTGAGAGGTTTTCTGGGAATAAGGGTTTTAGAAAAATGAGTTTGAGCACCAGGGATAATCTGCCAGGAGCAGGATTTGAGGCAGAGAGGAATATTCACATAAAATTGACAATAAAGGAGGCTGTGAGCTGTTGATCTGATGGCCCTGGAGCTCCTTGGACATCATCAGTCACACTGGGAATTTTTTTGAATTTGAATTTTGAATTTCCCTTCCGTAACTGATCCAGGTAAGGCATTACAACCGGCTAATGTCCGTCGCTTTGGAGGAACCCTGCTCTATTGGGGCAGTTTAAATTTTACAAAAAGCCTGTTTGGAAAGAGGATTTTTTCCCCCAGCTGGAGTTAAAACTATCCGCTAGAATTATTACAATAAACCCTCCATTTTGTCCACCATGTGGGAGGTTCGGAAGCGACTGGCAAGATCTGAATCCAGAGCAGAGAAATCACAGCCCTGAATCGGAAGGCTTTTCCTCACGACAAGCCACGTTCCCTCACTCCCGCATTTCTGGGCCCCCCTTCTACAGTATCGGGCACTGGGCATGACAGGCCCTGCCAAAGAGTATCAAGAACGAGGGTCCATCAAACGGAGGAGTTTATCCCGTGCTCACAGAGCTGCCTGAAAAAAAAAAAAATCCTGTATGACAGGCAGAAATTCAAAAGGGCAGGATCTGCCGCGGCTTGGAGAATGCAGAGGAAACTGCCCGCTTGCTTCCTCCTCCGGTCACCACTCGGGAGGCCCTGCGGTGGAATAATTGGAATAAGAAAGCATTTATTTTGCACTGATGTTGGTGTAACCCAGCAGGATGATACGTTCCCAGCTGCCCCCCACCTCAACGAAACCGTTCCTCAGCGGCCTTTGGGGCCGACTGCCTGACTGCAATCGCCAGCCTGTTTTGCTTCACTCACCGGGAACCCCCCACCCAGTTCATGTTCCTCTGCCCTGCAAACGCCGCCCCGGACAGGTAGGCCACCCCGGATCACGACCAGCCGGCCTGGGCCTCAGGCCAAGCCCCCTCTGGGGAGGAAAAGAGGCGACCCCAAAGGCGACTGAGGGGAAATGTCACCCTGCAGAGGCCCTTGAGACCACCAGGAGGGGCTGGGCTGCTGAAGGAAGGGCTCCCCCGGGGGTCTCGACCTCTCCCTGACCCCCAGGGCCTCAGGGGCAGTCTCAGGGGCGAGGAAAA